GATTTTGCTTTTGTAGATGACCTTTGGGATCACCGGTGCACCTGAAATTTTCAAAGACCGATGGCAGAACTGTTAATGAACCAAGTGGAGCTGCAGGTTTCATGGATGATATTCTGATAGGTGGATCTTTGAAAACTCTCAACAAAGCCCTGAGCCTGATCAGTCAGTCTGGGCTGAAGTAAAACAAGGAAAAATGTTTTCCGCCCCACTCCCCAAATGGAGTGGATCAGTCCTAGCCCTAAGTAAGAGCAATTCAAGAATTGACAGCACCAAGTCACGTACCAGAACTGAGACGTGTACTGGGGATGGTCAGTTACTTTGGCTGATACCTACCAGTCATTTAGACCTGCACTGAATGAACTGTTAAAGCCCAACACATCGTGGCTATGGGGCCAAATCAAGACACTGCCTTAAAAAGGTGAAGGAAATTATCTCAGCAGCTCCAGTTCTCGAGTTCTGTGATCTGAGCAAACCCACAATGGGGTCAGTGCAGACACAAGCAGCTACGGCCTATGGTGTGGTGTTGTAACAACTGGGCTCGGAGTGGCAGCGAGCTGCACTTGGCTCTGGCCCACGCACTGAAGCAGACAGTCGATCTGCACAGATTGGCAAGGAGGGCCTGGCAAGCGTGTGGGCATGTGAGCACCTGTACGGATAGCTGTGTGGACTGGATTTGTTTACACTGATTGATAACAGACCATAAACTGCTTAAACCTGATCAGGGGAGAAGACCTGGGTCAAGCACCCGCTGAGGTGCCAGTGTCTATTGCTAAGGTGAATGCGATTTAACCCAATTGCTGGATATGTTCCTGGGAACAATCTCCGAGTAGCAGACACTCTGTCACGGAGCCAGGCATCGCACCCAACTACCTGTGAGCTCGAAGATGAGGTAAATGCGTACGAGAATGCTGTGGACACACGCAGACCAGTGTCGGGAAAGAGATGACTCCAGCTACAGAAACCAAGCCCGATAGACACACAACTCCAGGAAGTTCTAAGCTGCGCTGGGCAGCAATCTAAAGGGAACTAAGGAAGTGGCAAGAGGCTACTTTGCAGTGTGGGGACAATTGAGCAACTCAAATGGACTCATGATTAAGGTTAAGATTTTGTCACGGATATTTGAGTAAAAGTCACCGACAGGTCGTGGGCAATAAACAATAAATCATGGAAGCCCGAGCCCTGCCACCCGGGGCTGAAGCCGCAGACGTCACCTAAAATCCCAGAATCCATGACCTGCATGACCAACTCATAGTCTTGCTCATGATTAAAGGCAATTGCGTTGTAATTCCAAAGGAAATGAGAGGAGAAATCCTAAACCTCATCCGTGAAGGGATCATGGATTAACTAAATGCTGTGAATGGGCCAACCAGTCAGTGTGGTGGCCGGGCATCAGCGAGGACATAAAGTATCTGCACGTGAACCTTGCAGAACTAACAGACCATCACAACATGAAGAAAATGAATAACACCACCCCTACCACACAGACCTGGGAAGAATGAGCTGCAGATTGATGGGACATCATGACCTTGTATTCGTGGACTGTTTTTCCATGTGTATAAGTAACAGTGACAGACCCCGGTTGTCGATGGGCGGGATGAACTGGGGACCTCTGGAGCTTAGTGCATGAGCCTCAACTGCATGAGCTAAAAGCCACGTGGCCCTTAGCGAAGGCTGTAGAGGAGACTCGTTAATCTCTCTCTCTAAATGGTCTCGGTGCCACTCGATGGGACAGACACCACCCCCAGGCGGTGGGTGGGTTAGTTAGAAATGACGTATTTGAAAGCCATGACATCTTGTCGTGTTGTAGAGAAACGAATGTGCACTTTTGCTCACTTCGGCATTCCAGAGCAAACAGTGACAGACAACGGACCACAATTCACTGCAGCAGAATTTAAGTCCTTCCAAGCGAAATATGATTGTGATCATATTACTGGCAGCCCACATTCCCCACAAGCGACTGGAGAGGCTGAGAGAGCCGTACAGACAGTCCAGAAATCCTACAGCAGGAAGATCCATTCCTTGCGCCTCTGAGTTGGAAAGGTAGTTCCATCTCCAACGTGGGCAGACGTGGAGAGAGTGGCCAGCTTGGATGAAAAGGCTAAAAGAGCATATGAACACTTTTACAACAGATGTCACTCTGTTACAGAACTGCCAGGTTTAGAACCTGGTGACCATGTTCATGTCAAATTGGATGGAGAAAAAGGAGGGCCAACTCCAGCTGTTGTAATGAAAAAGAATTCAGAGCCCAGATCATACGTGATCATGACCAGCAGTGGAGCGTTCAACAGAAACCATCGACATCTACAATTCGTTCCTCAGAACAATGAACGGAGCAACCTCTACAGATGCAGAACAAGAAGAGGACGACTCAAGAACGCCAAGCCGACCAAAGCCCATCCTTGTACCTAATGGACAGCCCGACGACCAAGTTGTTGCACATTCGGGTCATGTAATTAGCAAACCAGGACGATTCAGACACAGACTGATCCATACTGAACTTCAAAGCCACATATTGTCCATGACAGGAATGGGGCATTTAAAGAGGGCGATGTGATGAAAGGCGAAACGGTAGAGCCGGTTGAGCCGCCAGGTGGCGCGGTGTGTCCAATACAGTAGAACCTGAGCGTTCTGAACGCCCGGGGATGGAGGTTGTGCCCAGCCTGACGCTGACCAGAGCCTTTCAAACGGTTACAACTGAACATTGACTTGATGCGGCTCTGAAACTTCCCTATGCAGAAGAGAAATGCTGCTTGTAGCTATCTTAACTGAAATGAAACAACCCCGGACGCAGCTCCCTGACCTCATCACGTCTCTTTCTAACTCTCCCCGTAGTGTGTTAGTAGTTCACGTTTAACATACCACTGTCCTGAACCTGCTTTTCTCCCCTCCGCTGACGCTCGATGGCGCACTTCCGGTTCCAAACGAGGTGTGCGCTTGACTGGCCAGTTCGTAACTCTGAGATGCGACTGTTATTTACACACCTGGCCGAGCACTGAAGGGCGTTACGGGGTGTGTAAGGCGGCTCTGTGGCCAGTCTCTAGCTGGTACAGGAACATGACACCCGCAGGATCTCTGCCTCGTGGGCTCCCCACTGCCAGGGCCTGTTAGAGGAGCTCTGTCCTGGGAAGGAAACGGGCATGGAGGGGGGCTCCAGTAACGGCGCAGTAAAGCAGCAGGTGGAGTCGCTCTGACCCTGACGCTGCAGAAGAGCCTGAAGGGACTGAAGTGTCTGTAGCCAGAGCTGGGAGCAGGGAGACGGGCCAGGCGATAGCCAGCGTAGCGGGGCGCCAGGCGATAGCCAGCATAGCGGGGCGCCAGGCGAGAGCCAGCGTAGCAGGGCGCTGGGAGAGAGCCAGCGTAGCAGGGCGCTGGGAG